TCGGGAGTGCGTGCCCGTCTGGATGCGGCCCGCGCCCGCGCCTCGCGTGCCGCGCCTGGCGTCGGGGCGGCCCTGCGCCGCGACCGCTCCCGTGGAAGCTGCTCCCCTGTCCCAGCGAATGGGGCCCTCCACGGCTGGCAGGCCGAGCTCTCAAGCCCGGGGATCGGCTCGTGCGCTCGGCGTTTGGTCACCGCCACCACTCCCTGGCTTCGGGTGTCGCAGTCTTCAGCGCGATACCGAGCGCCTCCTGAAGCGGTTCGATCTGTCTTCTCCTCGCCCCGCGGTCCTCGCTCGAGCTCGGCGCTGGCCTGATCCGACCCTGCAGCAGGCAACCTGCTCACTGCGGCATTCTTGTATGCCGTCCGAGTGTGTCCGAGTAATGTGTTGTTATCTATGTTCCGTGCTGTCGCGAATGCTTGGTGCACACCACCCGCCGCTTCCGAGGTACGACGCAGCGATGTCAAGACTGTACGTTTTCCCTGTATGGCGATTCGCTTCTCCACAAGCTTGAGTGTCCCGCCCTGATCGCTTCCCTTGCCCGAATGCTTCCGTTCCTCCCATCGTCCCTCTTTCGTATTTCTGGCCTTGGGAGTGCTTGCGTCTACCCGCTTCTTCCAATGAGCAACAAAGAATTTGTTTCGCTAGTGATCCTCTATCACCTCGCATCCACCACCTACCACCGATGCAAGTTTCGAGGGTGGGCCTCCGAGACCCCGGCAGCGCGCCGTCCTCAAAGTAGGGCTGGCTCAAGTGTGCGACATCGCCTTTCTATGTGGAGTCAAAGTTTTCAGTCTTCTCGTATCCCCGCCAGCCGTTTCAGACACGTTGCCCCTGAGAGCTGACGGGAAAAGAGACGAAGAGACACATCTAGTGGAGCAGAGCGGGCAACCAGGATGAACAGAGAAATCTCTTGGAGCGGGTGGCCTTGGAGGATATCGTCGGGCCGTTACTGGGGCCCGCGGGAGTGCGAGGGGAGGAGGATGGAGAGGAGGACGACGGAGGAGGAGGAGGAGGAGGAAGAGAAGGAGGAACAGGATGAGGAGCAGGAAAAGGAATACGATGAAATCAAGGACGAGGGGGAGGAGGAGGAGGATGAGGAGGAGGAGGAATTACAATCATATTAATAAGAGTAGTAATGCGAGGGATACGATCATTAGTATTTTTATCATTTCTAATGCCATCAATACCAATATTTATAATAAGAATCATAATGCTGCGACGAATGTTATGAATAATACCACCATTAGTAATATGGAAACGGATCGGATTACCCAGGATACTAATACTACTACTTACACTATTGCTAATATGAATAATGCTACTCATACGACTCGGACTAACACTACGGGTAATACTGCCAGTGCTAAGAGCACGGATACTATGAATCATCAGAAGAGTAATGGCACTAATGAGAAGCATACCGGTAACAATACGAATCGTAATCATATCACATACAATCGTGCTAACGGTAATTCTAAATACACATTCGTACTATTCGTGTTACTACTACTACTACTACTGCTACTCCCACTACTGCTGCTACTACTACTTCTACTACTACGACTACTACTGCTACTGCTACTACTACTACTACTACTACTACTACTACTACTACTACTGTTACTGTTACTACTACTACTACTACTACTACTACTACTACTACTACTACTACTACTACTACTACTACTACTACTACGACTACTACTACTACTACTACTACTACTACTACTACTACCACTACTACTACTACTACTACTACTACTGCTACTACTACGACTACTACTACTCTACTACTACTACTACTACTACTACTACTACTACTACTACTACTACTACTACTACGACTACTACTACTACTACTACTACTACTACTACTACTACTACTACTACTACTACTACTACTACTACTACTACTACTACTGCTACTACTACTACTACTACTACTACTACTACTACTACTACTACTACTACTACTACTAGTACTGCTGCTGCTGCTGCTACTACTACTACTACTACCAATACTCATACTGTTCGTATTACTACCAGCGCTACTAATCATCACAATATCTGGCCAGCTCGTTTCCGCTAGCCTGGCAGCAGTGCAATTGGAGCCGCATGCCTGCCACTGCTTGCTTTGTTACAGTTGCCCATGTCCGCGGAGCGCATTTCGTTATCGCCTGCAGCAGTACGCTTATGACTTATGACCATGTGCGCCGATGTATAGCTGCCGCGTCTTGGCTTGGCTGCACCGCATCTTGACTGCAGGTCGCTCGCGCTCTGCTAAAAACAACAAAAAGAGGATGAGGAGGACGAGGAGGACGAGCAGGAGGAGGAGGAGGCGGAGGAGGAGGCGGTGGAGGAGGAGGAGGAGGAGGAGGAGGAGGAGGAGGCGGAGGGAGAGGAGGAGGCGGAGGAGGAGGAGGAGGAGGAGGAGGAGGAGGAGGAGGAGGGGGAGGACAACTAGGATGAGGACGAGCCCTCAAAATCGCCTCTTGGAGCCCTCTTGGGGCCTTTCTGGGTGATCTTGGGGTCCTCTTGGGGCTCTTGTGGGGAATCATGGGGCCCTTGTGGGGCCCTCGTGTAGCCCTCTTGGGGGTTCCTTGGGAGCCCTGGAGGGTCTCTTGTGGCCATCTTGGGGGTCATCGATCAAAAAGTGGGGGTCGTATTGTTTGGTGCCCCCCCCAGGGCTATCACAATCGCCTGTCTTGGGCAATCTTGGGGCCATCTTGAGGCCTCTAAAGCGCATCGACAGCGAAAAGGCGCGATGCCAACATTCATCGATTTTCCGGCGGTTTCTGGAGGATTTAGGCCTTTGGGGGGGTCCTGAGGGGGCTCCGAAAACACTTGGAACCGTCGTGTGGCCCTCGTCGGGCCCTTGGGATGTACGTCGGAAGCTATCTCGGACCATCGTCGTCTACATTGAGCCATCCTGGAGGCCATCTTGAAGGCCATCTTGGAACATCGGGCGCCTCTTGGAGCCATCTTGGACGCTCTAACGCTCCGTGGCCCGCCCCAGGTCACCTCGGTGGGTGGGAGGGAGGTAAACCTTCCGGAGGGGACGATGCTTCTGGGAAGAGGAGAGGAAGAACTCGTCTGACCACCTCAGCCCGCAGGGCTGGCGGGAAGCGGGGCTCCTGATCCCCGAGGGGTGGCCGCACCCGCTGCTCCGCCTGCTGCTCCTCTGCCCGCGTGCCTGCACCTCCCGCCTCCCCGTCCTGCCGGCCCCCCCGTTCCGCCCCCAATCCGCGGGGGCCCGGGGCCTTCGACGAAGTCCGCTTCGACATCCAGGAAAACGATTCAGACGACGAGGGCGCCGAGGCGGAAGGCTTTGCTTCCACCGGCGCGAGGGCGGTCCCTGCTAGCTCCCCCTCTCGCTCCCCCGCCCATCCCCGCCCTCGGTCTTGCCCCCTTCCCCGTCTGCTTGCTCGCTGCTCCTTCGGCCTCGCTCTGGATCGGCGTGGGCCCAGATCGCGGTGACGTCTGCCCGGCCGTCGCGAACGGTGATAGCCCCTTCGAGGGGAAACGGATTGCGAAGGCCTTGCGTCCGGTGCGGCCGACCCTGACAGTGGACGACGACGGCGACGACGACGACGCTGCCGCCATGGAGCCTTTCGAGGTGACGTCTACCCGGCCGTCGCGAACGGTGATGGCCCCCTCGACGGGGGGCGGACTCTTCTCGTGCCCCTGGACGGGCCCCCCTCTCGGGGGCAGCGCGCCCTCCTGCCGCTCTCCCTCCCCCCGCTCTCCTCCTCGTCCCCCCCCGCCTGGTGCTCGCCTCGTCGACCCGGCCACGCGCAGAGGGGGGCGGGTGGAGTGGGGCAGGCTTCTCAGGAGCACCCGGCTTCTTGGCAGGCGCGGGCCCTGTGTGCAGATGTGAGGCCCGCGCCCTCTGACAGGCTGCCTCCTTCCAAGAAGCCTTCCCCCCCCTCCTCCGCCCCCCCCCCCTCTGCGCGCCGCCAGTCGACGTCGCCCGTCCTTCCCTTCCTCGCCCGTACTCGCTCCGAGCGAGGTGCCCTCCCGCTCTCCCCGTCGCGCCTCTGCGTGGAGGTGTCGTTGGACGCAGCCGCCCGCGCCCCCTCCGAGGCGGGAATTTATACATGCACGGCCTGGAGGGCCAGTTTTCGGAGCCTCGGCAGGCGGTGGATATGGACATGTTCGGCCCCCCGGGGGCCGAAATACATCCATGTCCACCGCCCGCTGGGGCACCAGGACGTCAGTTCCCAGGCGGTGGATATGGATAAATCTCCGCCTCGCACCCCTTGTCCCCCCCCCCAAGGTTGTGCGCGGCGAGTGTCTGTTCGTGGTCTCCGCCCCGAACGTGCTCGCGGTGCCTGTTCGTGCCCAGCGCCCGAGAGGCTGCGTGCTCCCCGTCCGCCGGCCTTCCGCCGCCCGCGCGTCCTGCCGCCGCCTTCCTCCGCCCCCCCCTCCTCACCCTGCTCCTCGCCTTCCTCCCCCTCCTTGCTCTCGCCTGCCTTCCCCCACCCCCTCTTACTCGTTGTCCTGTCTCGCTGGCTCGCTTGTGGGTGCATGGCGCATCGCGGCCTCGTTACCTGCAGCGGAGCGGCGAGGCCGGTCTGAGTGATCCGAGCGTGGCGTTGTGCCTTGTTGCTCTCATTCCCATGCCGTGTGCTTCAGTCCTCCAGGATTTTTTTTACATGCTCCGCGCGTGTCCCGAGGCCTGGTGCGGTGGGCTGCCAGGTGCGCCGCGGCACGAGTGTCGTGTGACCCTGGCCACCGCTCGTGTAGGCTGCGGCTTGGGTGAGGTCCGGAGCGAGAGGAGGTGGTGTTCCGGCGAAAAGGCGCAGGCCGCGGGACCTTGTCGTTCACTTCCTTCCCCCACCCCCCGCGCTTGGTGTGGAAGCCGCAGGGCGATACCACTCGCGTTGCCCGAGTCAGGCGCTCGCTCGAGCAGGCCTGAGTAGATCTCGGTCGCAAGTGGGGGCGCGACGATCACCGCGCGTCGCGCCTCGCGCGTCGAGAGGCGCGAAGTTAGGCGGCCCAAGATGCGATGCGAGAGGAGTCCAGAGACGGATCTGACGGTCGATCTTGTTCTGCGAGACTCGCACTGCCCGTTCTTCAAGGCGGCTGGCCTTATCCGTCAGGTGTGTGCCTGGGCTTCAAGCGTTCGGCTGGTCGCGCGGGGTGCCCTGAGAGGAGGGGCAGCAGAAGGAGGAACAGGTGCGGAAACATGACCACGCCAAGCACACAGGATGGCGTCGATGTTGATGATGAGGTTGCTGATGGTACCGACGATGAAGATGATGCCAACGACGGCGATGACGACAACGCATACGTCGGCGATGCGGTTGATGGTGCTGAGGATGACGACGATTCTATTGTAACTGCCGCGGCCGCCGCATCCGCCGCCGCTGACGAGGATGACGATGAGGATGATTCTGATGATGACGACGATGACGATGCTGATGACGATGATGATGATGCTGCTGCTGATGATGATGCTGCTGACGATGACGATGACAATGACGATGACGATGACGGCAATTATGATGATGGTAGTTGTGATCATGATGATGACGATGATGATGATTCTGATGATTCTGGTGATTCTGATGATGTGGATGGTGGTTGTGCTGATGGTGATTATGTTGATGGTGTTGGTGATGATGCTGATGATGATGCTGATGATGATGATTATGAGGGTGATACTGATGATGCTGATGCTGCTGATGATGAAGAGGATGATTATGATGCTGCTGCTGCTGCTGCTGCTGCTGCTGATGATGATGATGATGATGATGATGATGATGATGATGATGATGATGATGATGATGATGATGATGATGATTGTGGTGGTGGTGGTGGTGGTTGTGGTGCTGATGGTGAGGATGATGAGGAAGATGCGTAACATAGCCGCGCGCGACAGGTCGTGGTGGCGCTCCATGGCCCTCACGCGGACGGCGCTAGACACGGCTGCCGGCGGACGACGGTGCCGCGACCAGCCAGACTCGGCTTTTTGAGCGGAGGCGCGCCGGAGGTCCCGCCAGGCGAGCTATCGGAGAGGCTTCCCCGCCGGGGCGCGACAAGGGCGCTGGCTCGTTGGAGCGGGGCCTCCCGCGAGTGATCCGCGTCGTCAACGCTCCCGCCGACGCGCTGCACGAGGGGCTGAGGCGGGTCGACATCGCGCGGGGGCGCCGCAGCCGCGAGGAGGAGGAGGAGGAGGAGGAGGAGGAGGAGGAGGAGGAGGAGGAGGAGAAGAACAGCGGCGGGTGGGATGAGCCAGCAGCAGCGGCGCCAGCCAAGCGTGCCTGTTTGGCAGGGGCGCTGCAGGTCATCGGATGTCCGCAGCGCTCCGCTGCCGCGGCCGCAGGTTTCAGGGAGGCCACCCTGGCGGTGACGACGAGGCCCGTGGTGGACAGCTACACGAAGGCCCTCGTCTCGCTGGCCAAGGCGGGCGGCCTCGATTTGCTGCCGTTTACGCCAGAGAAGGCGTACAGGATCGGCGGCGCGCTGCGTGCAGCAGGTTGTAGGTCCACGGCGTGCTATCTGGAGAGGTATGAGCAGATGCTCGTCGAGGAGGACTACGATTAGTCGGTCAGACTGCACGGGGTGAAAGAGGATGCCGACGTGCGGCGATCAGGTGCCTCGGGCCGCCGACGCACGCGGCGGTCTTCACCCTGGAGTCGTGGCTCGTGGCGGCCCATGCGAAGCGAGCGCACGCCCAGGGCGGTCCGACCGAGCCCGGTCGCTTCATCACGATGGGCACATGGTGGATGCTGCGGGAGATCGAGGTGGCACTCCTGACAATCGAGCGCGTCCGCTTTCTGGAGGAGACGCACTCGGTTGCCGTGGACCTGGGCGTCACGAAGGAGGATATCCAGGGCTGCGGATGCACCTGGGTGCACTCGTGCATCTGCCAGTGCAGGCCGGAGTGGCAGGCCATCTGCCCAGTGTGCTTCGTCCGAGCCCAGCTCCAAAAGCGACGGGCTGACCAGGCGTAACCTTGCGACCCATTGTTCGCGGACGCCGCGCCGGCTACGCGGTCGTCAAGAGGGCCGCGGTCGCGACCATGCGCGCGCTGCTTGCGCCGGAGGGCGCTGGACGGGTGAGCGGCCACTCCTTGCGGCGCATGGGCGCACAGCTGCTCGCCGCGGCAGGCGTCGAGCAGTGGCTGGTCGAGTGGTTCGGCCGGTGGGACTCCGACGCCGTCAGGCGCTACGTCGAGGACGCGCGGTCGCGGGCCCCGCAGGCACGGTCTCTGGCGCTTCGGGCGGCCCGAAGCGATGCCAACGTGGAGCCGGGGCCTGCGACGATGGCCGTGGTGGCCGGGGCGCGCGATGCCCCGTTTTGCGCGCGAAGGGGAGGATGAGCGCCAGGGCGGCGCAGCTGGCCCGATCGGCCTCGTGGAGTTGGTCGGGCGCCTCGTGGAGGAGAGGATGCGGGAGAGGGAGGAGAGGTTACGCCTCGTCTCCTACGCTCTCGGCAAGACACATGTCGCGAGGGCCCGCGCGTGCTAGTCGAGAGTGCCCCGCGAGCGGAGCTCGCTGTGCGGTTGGTATTTCGGTGGTCTCCCGCAGTCGGCCCTCACCTTCCACGAGGGGCGCGCTGACTTGCATGACGCCTGCAGGAAGTGCGTCCGGCTCGCGGCCTCGCGTGGCTGGCCGACGGACTGCGCCGCAGCTGGCGCCAGCGGCGAGCGTGGCGAAGTCAGCTCGTCCTCGCAGTCATCCGATTCTGGTTCTGGATCGGACAGGCCGCCGTCGGAAGGTGCCGAGGCGGGTCGAGGCGAGACCGAGGACGAGGCTCCCGGTGCTCGTGCTTGACGTCTCGCCGTCCTGGCTCTCTTGGGCTGGGCGGGGGACAGTGTGCCCCATTTTGGGGTCGAGTTTTGGAACGCACGCTGGGTCGGGTCGCGGCCAGGGCGGGCGTGCCAGTCGCGAGCGACGCCGGCGCCCCGATCCAGGCGCACTGAAGAAAAGAGGAGCTTCGACCTCTCTCCCTCCGCCCTCCGTCCTCTGTCTTCGGTGGGCGGGGGGGGACCACATATGCAACAAGTTATCATGAGGATGATGATGATGGTGGTGATGATGATGATGACGATGATGATGCTGATGATGATGATGATGATGATGATGATGATGATGATGATGGAGATTGTGGTGGTGGTGGTGGTTGTGGTGCTGATTGTGAGGATGATGCGGAAGATGTGTAACATGATAACGACGATATTAATGACGGTGATGATGATGATGGCGATGATGATGGTTATGATGATGCTGCTGATGATGGTGATGCTGGTGGTGGTGATGACGATGACGTCGACGATGACGATGACGAAAGTGATGATGATTCTGATGATGATTCTTGTGGTGGTAGTGGTGGTGGTGGGGTGGTGATGATGCTGATGATTATACGGTGATGATGATGCTGCCGATGTTGATGATGGTGCTCCTGATGATGATTCTGATGATGATGATGCTGATGCTGCTGATGCTGCTGCCGCTGATGATTGTGATAATGATCATGGTGGTGGTGGTGATGATGATGATGATGGTCATGATGGTGCGGATGATGATGATGATGATGATGATGATGATGGTGATGATGATGATGCTGATGCTGATGCTGATGCTAAGGATGATGATGATGATGCTGATGAGGATGACGATAGTGATGGTGATGATGATGCCGATGCTGCTGATGAATATGATGATGATGACGACGACCACGACGACGATGATGCTGATGTTGATGCTGACGCTGATGATGTTGTTGATGATGCTCATGATGATGATTATGATGATGGTGGTGGGTGATGGTGATGATGGTGATGATGATGATGATGATGATGATGATGATGATGATGATCATGCTGATGATGATGCTGATGCTGATGCTGCTGCTGCTGCTGATCATGATTATGATGCTGATGATGATGATGATGGTGGTGGTGGTTATGATGATGATCGTTCTCGCAGGAGAGTGTTGTCTCGGGAGGATGAGGGGAGGAGGAGGGAGGGAGGCGGTGGAGAAGGGGGAGGCAGGGGAGGAGGAGGGGAAGGGGTTGAGGAGTCTGGTCCTTCAGGGCACTGCCACATGTTGGTGTACGCCAAGCCGAAAGGGTAGTTTGTTGCACTAATGTTTCGCCAGCCCAACTAACACAGTCACTGCAAGTGGCGCGCATTCGACACACACACACACACACTCTTTTAACGTCGGCGGCTAGGCAGAGGGACTGCGCTGGCGAGTAAAGCGACACGGGGCAACGTTAGGCGAATTCAGCCACCATGCAGGAGGAAGGGAGGAAGCGCGACGAGGCGACGGCCGAGGAGAGGGGAGAGGCGGGAGCCGGGTGCGCTCAGATCAGATCCGGGTGCGTGGCGAGGCTGGCGCCGTGGGGGGCCAGCAGCGGCGGCGGGGCAGCGGGGCTGGCGGCAGCGGGGGGTGGGAAGCTGACGAGGTCAGCGGGCGGAGCGGAAGCACGGCCAGTGGGGGAAAGCCGGAACCCCAAAGGTTGGGACGGCGTGGTCCTGGAACCTGGCAAGGCGGGGAGGGCGCGGGTGGCAAGACCAGCCCAGGCGCCGCGGCGGGGGGGGGGAGCGGGGCCAGCAGGCCAAAGAGAGGTGTGCACGAGGCTGAGTCCCTACGAAAGCGCTGATTCACGAATGTGAGCCAAAGTTAGCACTGCATGCCCCATGCATGTGCTGTCTTCCTGCCCTTTGCTTCTCTCCCCCCCTCCCTTAGCCGCTGCAGCAGTTTCGGATCAGAGGGGACCGCTTGTCCCACCCTCCCACCCTCGTTTTCTGCCTGCCCCCGCCGGGGCGCCAGTGGCAGTCCGCGCAGCGAGGTGCCGCTGCACCTCGCTCTCGTGTCGTTGTGCTTCTTGCAATGCAGAGAGGATGGGAAGGGGCGGGCCAATCGCGGGGGGAGCCGAGCAACGCGGGGCACCGAACAGGTGCAGTCACGGTGGGAAGGGGTCACCCCAGCTGGAATGACTGGGGTACGCCGAACTGGGAGAGCAGCGGCCACGTGGTGGGCGGAA